ACACACACACACACACGCACACACACACGGTGAGTTGTTATCAATCAGTCGAATGAACCCTGACAGACTGTTGGGGTTCAACCTCCTGATGAGTCTGCGAAATTCCAACGAAACAGTCCAGCACAGTCGTGCTTTTCTCGAGTGTATAGTGCATATAACAACCCACACACATGTTTGTTTCGTGGTGTTTTTTTTTTTTTTTTTTTTTTTTTTTTTTTTTTTTTTTTTTTTTCCATAATAAATATGTGATTTGGAAAAAACAAGTGGGGGCGAACACTACAGCCCCATATTTTTTATGTTTTTTTTTATGTTTTATTTCATTGGGGGAAAATCTGTGAAAAGCATGGCCGCGACTTTGGGGCTGCCGTCCGTGGCCATGGCCACAAACGTGGCTGCCTTTAAGTTTGACCCGAGGCCGCGGTCGTGGGTGATACACAGGGCTGAGGTACATTTGCCTTGGTGAGGCAATGGTGCTGTTGTTCCCCCTACAGTCGCAGGTCCAATTAAGGTTGTGCCCCTGGTGGGACCGTCTTTTTTATGGCATACCTCAAGTGGTTTAGCAGTAGGTAGTAGTGGGCAGATTGGAGTCCCTTCGTCACTTGCACTGCTGCTACAAGGCAGCCACATGTACAGCATCCTGTGCATAGTTACTGCTGCAACAGCAAGTGTCGTTGCAGTTTAGTCCACTGGTTTCACAACCAATGCAGCAGGCACAGGGCGCTATACAGCCCATGCAGTGGACAGCCAAGATATCCTTGTCGAGTTCTAAACCCTTCTCTGGCGACAGGAAGGAAGAGAACCTAGATACCTGGGTGAGGACTATGCCTACGTATGTGAGGTACAAGTCACAAGGACCGAGGAAGATTTTATTGTCGCTGCAGCCTTTCTCTGCATCCTTTCTAGAAGGATCTGAAGCCAGATGGTTGAACGGAGTACTACAGCAGGAAGGATACAGACAAAGGCACAAGCCTGGACTTTGGAGGTGTTTGTATGGATGGTTACAACAGGTGGCATGACCCTTAAGGGGCTCAGAAGGCCACGGACTCGTTGGCCAGTAAAGGATCGAAGAGATATTGGACTGTGGACTGTACGCGAGGTGACAGACGTTGTAGAGGGGACTTATTATTGTTCCTGGCGTGTGGTATGAACTGCAGGTAAAGTTATTTGAGATGTTTGCCCACAGATGTCCAAACTAAGTTGGTTGATGAGAGGCCTCCATAGATGTGTAACTTTGCCTCGATCAGGAAGAAACTTGAAGCCCTCTAGACATAGAGGCTAAGCTTGACATAGAGGCTAAGCTTGAGAGTGCCCAACGGGGACCAGTAGATGGGAGGAAGAAGAAGCTCTCAAGATTGGAGAAAGACAATCTCATGTTCGTTGACCATGATGGTCAGTGAGTGAGATTGATGACTGACCTTGGGGAAGAAACAGAGATAGCTGGGAGTGGGGAAACTTCAAAAGGTGGAGTAGCTGCACCCATTAGACAGAAGGCTAAGAAACCAAGAAATAGAAGGTAGGTTTTAAGGGTCAAAATGATCACGGACGACCATATGGGAATGATATGGGTGAAGCGTGGTCTCGAGTACGAGGTGTGGCGAGACCATGTTGCACGAGCCTCGAGGCGCTTGTCTCAATTGCATTCAGTATGGATACACAATGAGCAAGTGCAAGAGTAAGTGGGTCGCTACCAATGTCACGTCCTCAATAGTGACGTTGGATCTTCTAACAATGGTGGTGCTTCTACAAGCACTTCGCAAGGAAACACCTCGGGCTAGGAGTGTTCGTTGCTCTTACTCATCGTGAAGTGGTGACTTTACCTTCTCCATTTCAGACGATGGTCAAGGTTATTGACCCCGCGGGCAGATTCGGACCAATCGATGCTCAGTTCGATGGATGTGTCTTAGGAGTTAGAAGTGGTTAGAGAAAGACCCTAGAGACTCCTGGGTGATGTTAGAGACTAAGTGGTTAGAGAAACACCCTAGAGACTCTTGGGTGATGTTAAACAAAGGTCTGAAGGGTGAACATCCCGTGGCAGAAGTGTAGGTGGCCGAAAGGTTGGCGCCTTCGCGGACATAGGCCGAACGTGGAATTTCATTGGTCGTGCTTGTGTGGATAGGTTGCACTTATGGGAGCAAGTGCAGTGACTTAGCAGATTTGTAGCATCTACCTTAGAGGTTTAGCCAACAAGCACTCCATTTGGCTTGTGCCTTCTCCTATGCAGGAAGGGAGCTGAGACACAAGATCTCATTCCTAGTGAGCAACAAGCTACCGTTTTACATGTTGCTAGGCTATTTGACACCTGCAGCCTAGGCTGCGGGCAATTTGGCCGACGCGGCCAAAAAAGTTGGTCGCAGCCGTGGCTGCCAGGCCTAGTTTGTGGCCTGATTTTTTGGATTTTTTTTCTCGGTTGAAAAGTAGGTAAAATATATATATATACCGGGCAGTTCTATTTGACGATATATATAGGCTCTTGGAAACCTTACAACCCCATATTTTTTGAAAACCCTACCAACCTATGTCCCACTTGGCCACGGCCACCGGCTGTCTTGGCTGCGCGACCGACTTTACGTGCGGCCGCGCTAGCGCCAAGCGGGGGCGCGCGCGCCGCCTGCGCATGTTGGCCACTATCACCCAATCCAAAAAAAATAAAAATTTGAAAATTTGGGGGGGGGGGGTTTGGTGAGTGACAAAAAAAAAATTGAAAAGAACAAAAATAAATATTGGTTGATTCATTGATTGATTGGTGGGGGAGGGGTCCTCCCGCTCCTCCTCCCGGCACACACACACACAACACACATCACACGCACACACATGCGCGCACAAACACACGCGTGCGGCGTGCACACACACACACACACATGTGGACAAACACGTGCACACACACACACACACGCACACGCACACAAACACGCGCGAGCGCGCACACACACACACACACACACACACACATACGCACTCACACGCACACACACACACAGACACGCTTCATTTTTATTATTTTTTTGTAATCAATCAATCAATCAATCAAACCAAAGAAAAGAAGAAAAAGAAGAAAAAAAGCAATTACCTTGGAAAATTTTTTAGGACTCTCCATATCAGTCATGCAAAAAATAAAAGAAGGTTTTTCTTTTAAACCAATTTTTGTTTTTTACTTTTTATAAACCCTAAATAAAGTCAAATTCAAAAAACAAAAATATGGGGTTGTAGCCTCGTAGGGTTTTCAAAACCCTACAACACAAAACAAAAATAATAATAATTATTTTTTGACCCCCGAAAAATCCAAAATATCAGGCCGCAAACTAGGCCTTGCGGCCGCGGCTGCGACCGACTTTTTCGGTCGCGGCGGCCGAATCGCCAACGGCCTAGGCCGTGGGTGTCATATAGCCTACAACCCCCTTTTTTTTTTTTTAATCTGACTTCATTGTAAAAATAGAAATGAAAATAAGTTTTCAAAAAAAACTAAAAATAAATAAAAACAAAGCAAGGATTTTTGTTTTTCCATGTTTTCCATTACAGATAATCATGATATGCAGTTAAGAGTCCTCTGACAAATTTTGCCAAGGTAATAGTTTTTCTTCTTTTTTTTCTTTTTTTTCTTCTTCTTCTTTCGGGTGTCATATAGCCTATAACCCCTTTTTTTTTTTTTTGAATTTGACTTCATTTAGGATTTGTAAAAATAGAAA